TCCTGTTAGCAGCTTGGTCCTGTTAGCAGCTTGGTCCTGTTAGCAGCGTGGTCCTGTTAGCAGTTTGGTCCTGTTAGCAGCTTGGTCCGGTTAGCAGCGTGGTTCTGTTAGCATCAAGGTTCTGTTAGCAGCAAGGTCCTGTTAGCAGCAAGGTCCTGTTAGCAGCGTGGTCCTGTTAGCAGAGTGGCTCTGTTAGCAGCATGGTTCTTTTAGCAGCATGGTTCTGTTAGCAGCGTGGATCTGTTAGCAGTGTGGTTCTGTTAGCAACAAGGTCCTGTTAGCAGCATGGTTCTGTTAGCAGCGTGGTTCTGTTAGCAGCATGATTCTGTTAGCAACAAGGTCCTTTTAGCAGCATGGTTCTGTTAGCAGTGTGGCTCTGTGGTATGTAAATACCTTTTACTAATTATCATTTTATAATGTTTGTGAATGTGTGCAGTTCTCTGAGATGACTTGTAAGTAAGAGGTGAGCAAGCCTTCATGTTGTGAAACAATCTGGCCATACAGATGTTGTCTACAACTGAGGACATCTGGAATCATTGGCATGTTCTTCAAGACATGGACACACTTTCTTCATGAAATAGACTAGAGTTGACCCAGAATGTACATATTTAGGTTTATGTCTTCATCTTTACACTCACATACAGAGGGTGTGTTCTAAAGTTAATTTGAATGTTCAGATTTATTAGAGTCACTTTCATCATGTGACAATTTATTTTTATGGAACCATTTCTTCTCATCAGTTACAGTTTGATGGGTTGGTCTAATAGAGTTATTACATGAAACACCTAAAATCTTGGATCAGAAATCTGGTTTATTGTGATTGTCATATTTATGTGACCTCCTCAGTTGGAAAAATTGAACATGGAGTTGATAATTTAGAAAAAATACAAACTCTTTGCTCGTGTTCAGCTGCTGTGGGGACTCCTGTCTGTCCTCCAGTGAAACGTTACATGGTTCATATGCAGTAGAGCTGATGTTTTCTGTTTTGTGTGATTTTGTTTAGACTGCAGATCTATCAGGACCTGAGGGATGAGTTAGCTAAGGTGAAGACCCTCGAGGGTTTGGCTGATGTGAGCAAACAGCTGAAGCAGCACTGTCAGGTAAAAATGCTGAAAACATCACTTTAAATACACCAGTGGAGGTGGAAACTGTACATCTGTCATTTTGAAGGAGCATCTGACGAAAGAAAGTTAAACAAAAACTATTCAGCCCTTTAACTGACCCAAGCAGCAATATTTGTAGGATATTAACCTTTGAGTAGTGTTTAATAATGTCTCGTCTGTCTCCATCTTTTCCGTCCATTTTCAACCATTTATCTAAAGTTGAGTTTTGGAGACAATCGGTCTCTGAAGCAAACCCAAATGTCCAGTGACGCTCCAGCATCCCGGAGAAGACTCACTCTTAAATCCAACAATTTTCAGTCAGGTCATCTGGACAGTTTCCTTTTTTGTGTGCTGAAATGTTTCACCTTCCATCCAGAAGACTTCCTCAGTCAAGGAAACACACAACACAAAACTGGTAACACATAACTGGTTTGTTCCACTTTGGAGTAAGCTGTTGGGGGAAGAATCAGTTTTGTGTTGCGTGTTTCCTTGACTGATGAAGTCTTCTGGATGGAAGATGAAACGTTTCAGCACACGCAAAAAAAAAAACTGTCCAGATGAACTGACTGAAAATTGTTGGATTGTTTACCTGGATTATTGATCATGGACTTTGTTGACTCACTCTTAAACTTTTTGTGCCATACCCTTTGACAGCAAGAAAACTATTTGAGGCTCAGCAAGACAAACACAATATGAATCCAGTTTATTTGAGCAACATGTAAAATAATAAAAAATGTATACAGTGTATCACAAAAGTGAGTACACCCCTCACATTCCTGCAGGTATTTAAATATATCTTTTCATGGGACAACACTGACAAAATGACACTTTGACACAATGAAAAGTAGTCTGTGTGCAGCTTATATAACAGTGTACATTTATTCTTCTCTCAAAATAACTCAATATACAGCCATTAATGTCTAAACCACCGGCAACAAAAGTGACCACACCCCTAAATGTCTAAATTTAGCACTGCTTGTCATTTTCCCTCCAAAATGTCATGTGACTCATTAGTGTTACTAGGTCTCAGGTGTACATAGCGAGCATGTGTATTCAGTTTTGTAGTACAGCTCTCACACTCTCATACTGGTCACTGAAAGTTCCAACATGGCTCCTCATGGTAAAGAACTCTCTGAGGATCTTAAAAGATGAATTGTTGTGCTACATGAAGATGGCCAAGTGTTCTATGAAATTATCTTAAACAAAGTACAGGTTCGGGTGAATGGTCGGAACAATGAATAAACACTCACAGGCTGTTTCTGCTAGAATAATAATGTGTCATTTTATTAAACCGCCACAGATACAGTGAAGCAAAGCACAAGTACATTCAGTACAAATCAGATATTGATGTAAAAGCCCCTCACCATGACACCAGACCGGGAAGCCGTTTCAGTCCGAGTAGAAAGGTAACATCAATTGGCTGGGCATCGGATCAGGATCCACAGCAGACTTCAACTCTTATTCTGAGTGTTACACTTTAATACTCTCTGCATTACATGGGAACATCTCCCAGTAAACAAAACATGCCCACCTGGACTTAAAGTCTGTGAAAAACCCTTGAGATAGCGTGAGAAGCTTAAAAACCTCTAGATAGCGCGAGAGCGTGAGAAGCTAGGGTGAGAAACCTCAAGATAGCGTGCGGGGGGGGGGGGGCAAGCCTCCCCCCTCAGGCCTCTCGGGTGGCTCACAACAACATGCACCAAAAACTCTTCATATCACAGGTTAAATAGTCAGAAAAACAACATTTTATTCAACTCTCAACTCACCAAGGCTACAAGAGGACTGCCAACACCCTGAAACTGAGCAGCAGCACAGTGGCCAAGATCATCCAGAGTTTTAAAAGAGCAGGGTCCACTCAGACCTCGCGTTGGTCGTCCAAAGAAGCTGAGTGCACGTGCTCAGCATCACATCCAAATGCTGTCTTTGAAAGATAGGTGCAGGAGTGCTGTCAGCATTGCTGCAGAGATTGAAGAGGTGGGGGGTCAGCCTGTCAGTGCTCAGACCATACGCCGCACACTACATCAAACTGGTCTGCATGGCCGTCATCCCAGAAGGAAGCCTCTTCTGAAGTCTGTACACAAGAAAGCCCGAAAACAGTTTGCTGAAGACATGTCAACAAAGGGCATGGATTACTGGAACCGTGTCCTATGGTCTGATGAGACCAAGATTAATTTGTTTGGTTCAGATGGTCTCAAGCATGTGTGGCGGCAATCAGGTGATGCCTACAGTCAAGCATAGTGGTGGAAACCCCATGGTCTGGGGTTGCATGAGTGCAGCAGGTGTTGGGGCGTTGCAGTTCACTGAGGGACACATGAACTCTAATATGTACTGTGAAATGCTGAAGCAGAGCATGATCCCCTCCCTCCAGAAACTGGGTGGCAGGGCAGTGTTCCAGCATGATAATGACCCCAAACACACATTTAAGACGACTACTGCTTTATTGAAGAGGCTGAAGGTAAAGGTGATGGACTGGCCAAGCATGTCTCCAGATCCAAACCCAATAGAACATCTTTGGGACATCCTCAAGCGGAAGGTGGAGGAGCACAAAGTCTCGAATATCCGCCAGCTCCGTGATGTCGTCATGGAGGAGTGGAAAAGCATTCCAGTGGCAACCTGTGAAGCTCTGGTAAACTCTGTGCCCAGGAGAGTCGAGGCAGTTCTGGTAAATAGTGGTGGCCACACAAAATATTGACACTCCAGGAACTGAGACAAGATGGCGCCTTTGTTGATGGCACGCAGTCTACCTCTCCTGAATTTGTTAAAGTTACTCATGTTTTGCCTTCTCTTCATCCATGATGTATCCTCACTTCTAGTGTACGACCGCTCAACTCTGCTAAAGATCCAGGATTCGCTAAACAACGCACCAGTTTTTGGTAAAACTGGACATTTTAAGAAACCACCGCCCTTCCTGGCGTCTGTGCCAGCCTATCTACGCCGCACTACCGGGACGTTGCTACGCAACAAACGCCGCAGAAGACGTGGAAGGAGAGCGGGAGTCCTCGTCAAATTCAAATTCTACCTCTCCTCTCACAGTACGGGTGATCATCGGCTTCTACTGCAGGACTTACCTTCGGAGTTTGGCATCGTCGACCTCCGTCGTTCCCTGGTATATCGTCATCGATGCCTCGTTCCTGTTAATCCTGGCGTCAACTTTCAGTTTCCACCTTGTCGCTCTGTGGGGACTAGGAGGGGGGGCTGCGTGCAACAGAACCTCCGCCCGCTTGCCCGAGCAGCTGATGACGCAAATGGCTGTGTACCAGCGCGTGCAGCCCTGTTTAATGCCCGATCGCTCTCAAATAAAACCTTTATGCTAAACGATCTGATCTCTACTCATCGTTTGGATTTATTCCTGATGACTGAGACCTGGCTGAAACCAGGGGACAACAGTGCATTTTCTGAGCTCCTCCCACCTGGCTACTCCTACCTGAGTGCACCGCGTGTGTCTGGCCGTGGGGGCGGTCTCGCTGCTGTGTTCAGTGATAAACTCACCTGCCGCCCACTGCCTCCTAAAAACTACAGCAGCTTTGAGCTTCAGCTGTTTGTGATGGAATTTGCACATCCCCTGCTGTGTGGTGTTTTATATCGCCCACCAAAATATAATAAGGATTTCATTAATGAATTCTCAGAACTGTTAGCTGAACTGTTGCCAAAATTTGACAGTTTGCTTTTATGTGGTGATTTTAACATTCATGTTTGCTGTCCCTGTAACCAACTTTCTGCTGACTTTCAAAGCCTTCTGGATTCTTTTAACCTGTCACAATCTGTGTCAGGGTCCACACACAGTCATGGTCACACTTTGGACTTAATCATCTCTCACGGCCCTCGTGTATCTGTTATAGAAATTTTGGACACTTGTATTTCAGACCACTTTCCTATTATATTTGAATTTTCCACTCCTCCCCCGGTAAAGACTATGCTTCCAGCACGTCGCTGCCGCTTCATCACTCCCTCCACTCCAGGTCAGTTTGCTGCTGCATTTAGAAGCACTGACTTCTACTCTGCTGAAAGTCTGGACTCATCTCTACATCCAGAAGAATTTATCACCTCCTTTCAATACACTTCTACAAAGATCTTGGACTCCATCGCTCCTTTAAGACAGACTTCTACAAAAATCAAGCCAGATCCCTGGCTTAATGGTACCACTCGGACTTTTAGACAACGCTGCAGGAAAGCAGAACGCAGATGGAAGAAAGACGGGCTTCATGTGTCCCAGGACATGCTGAGAGACTGTCTTCATGAATATCAAAAAGCTGTTCAGCAGGCCAAATCACAATATCTTTCTAATTTAATTTCTACCAGTTGTAACCGGCCAAGGGTTTTATTTAATACCATTCAGTCTGTCATTAATCCCTCCATCAATGTTCTGAAAACTGCTACACAGTCTACCTGTGATGGTTTTCTTGATTATTTTGTGAACAAAATAGACTCTATCAAGCAGAACATTGTCAGTACATATAATGCTGTTCAGTCATGTGCTCCCTCAATAACCTCTGCTGTGTTTGATCAATTTGACCTGGTCTCACTACCTCACCTCGTTAAGGTGGTTCAGCAGATGAAACCTACAAACTGTACCCTGGACATCATCCCCTCTAAGATGTTCAAGCAGTCCTTGGATGTTATTGGTCCTTGTCTTCTGACATTTATTAATAGCTGTCTAAGTTCAGGTTATGTCCCGTCTGTTTTCAAACGTGCTGTGGTCAGGCCTCTTCTTAAAAAACCGGGTTTAGATCCTACAGCTTTTTCTAATTTCAGGCCAATTTCACACTTGTCATTTTTATCCAAAGTTCTGGAAAAGGTTGTTTTCATTCAGTTGCAATCTTTTTTAGAACACAACAACTTGTTTGAAAAATTTCAATCTGGCTTCAGACACCGCCATAGCACTGAATCTGCACTACTCAAAGTACAGAATGATATTCTTTTGTCCCTTGATGCCAAAAAACCTGTTCTGCTGGTGATGTTGGACCTCTCAGCAGCTTTTGATACTGTAGACCATCAGG